ATGAAATTCAGTTGTAGGAGGGCTCTTAATGTAAGGAGGGAGTTGTTAGATAACGTGTTGGTTACTGCCTGGATCAACCAAAATATAAAATTAATTTTATACCCAACTTATAAATCTCATATTAGATACCTATGTGTCTTCTCCCTAATTTATTTTTAAACATAAACGATGTTGGAGAAACATATTTATTTCTACAAATAATATCATATCAAGAAAGTTGATTCAGTACACACTATGGATGAAACAACATATTTAATGGCTACTATTGAAATAATAATTTATTTAATAAGTAATTAGCTTACCTCATAGTAAAATATATCGTCAGTTTAACAATTAAGCAAATAAGTCTTAGCTCTCCTTAAAATTTTACTAACGCTTGGGCTATAAGGTTAGTGAAGAAGAACACAGGATCCTTGTGTATTTCTTCATCTATTAAAAGGAAAATATATTACCATCCTTGAAAATTAAGATATTTCCTCATAACATAATACAATTATCAAAACTACTCTTTTTATGATGATGAAAAAATTAATGACAGTATACAACACTTTTGGAAATTGGATTGGGAGTTATAGCCAGAGAGAACACACAAATAAAAATAAAAGATTTTTTTTTTTGCAACTTGTCAAAACCTTGGGACAAAATAAAATAGAAATATTTTATTTTTATTTGTGTTCCCTCTCTGACTGCAACCACCAACATATTGTTTTTATGCCGTTCTTAGTTTACTTTTTCAATAGGTTTTTAATATATCATCATAGACTACAATAAATGGTGATACTTTATAAACCTTAATAATTTGTGTTGAGTACTCCATGGCAACTATGGCATCTAGGAGACTATTTCTAGAATGGACACCTCTGGGCTCATGTGTTAAGTTAAAAAGTGTCCATTCTAGAACTTAAAAATGCAGGGCTGGGCTTAGTATGTTTTAAAGGAATTTTCATAGAAGATATCAAGTCCTTGATATCTGCTATGAAATATTGAAAATACATTTACTTCCATCTGGCGGCTCACCAATATCCGAGTTTTGAAACCTCCACGACTTTTTTCAATGACATTTATTGTAAAGTTGTAGTATGAATTTAAGGATCAAAAATGAGATCTGTCATTTATCCATAAAATTTCCTTTCTTTTAACACATTGCTTGTAATAATCCATCCCTCTTGATAGCAAAAAAAGGGTTCTTTACCAGCGTATTAGATAAATTGTAGATAGTTTTGAACTTGTGCATGAAAATATAAAATAAGGCAAAGCTTGTTGTGGAAACTTTTTTTGTTTAGCCACTGAATAGTTCTAACACTGAAAAGTTGTTTTAACTCATTGTCAACACGCATTGTTGACCTAAAAGTTGCCACCATTATATAACTCAGTTTTAAAATAGTCTTTGTGGTGATTTCTTTATTAATATTACTTAAATAATTTTTTTTTTTTATTACTTTGATAGTGGAATACCTATCTTTAGTTCTTCAGTTCACATTCAAAATGGAAGTTATGTTACATACATTCTGCATATTTTGTTAAGGGTATATTGTTTACCACAGGCGAAATGCAGCTCCCGCACATCCATAAATTAAGGCAATAACAGAGTAATATGAAGCGAGATGCAAGTGAAATGATGGTTTGAGATGGAAATTTCTTCTTTTTAGACAAGTCCTGCATAAGCTGTTTTGTTTATTCGAAGATCTGATAATTGCCTCTGAAGAATATGTAGTATCTAAAGAATTGGTGAAAACTGAAATTAAATTCATATTGCTTAATGGATGACATCGCTGATATGAATATATGTAAAAACTTTTTTGTACGAAATGTATCAAAACATCCAAAATAACTTATGGAGCTTGAATTTATTTAACCTGGGTTCAGTGTATATGTGTGTAAAATGTTATTTCTGTGAATGTCATTTATTTACAACAATTAAAAATTTATCATCTCCATTTTTGTTTTTTTGTTTTAAAATCATTAATTTTCAGTGTATCACACAACACTTTTCTAGAATATAATTATGCTCAATAAAGTGAATTTCATGTAATGTTAATGTATGTATGAAGTCTTGATTTTTTTTTTCAAATTTATTTAAAAAACTGATTAGCTTTTACTTCCGTACCAGTAATGTGCGATGTTCAGTTGGTTTTAACAGACCTTTTAGTTTCTAAGCTCCTTAAGAACAAAAATCACTTTCAGCCATTGGTCTGTTATATCTGTCATAATGGTCTCTTAACTTTTCTGCACTTATTTCCGTGGGAATCTGTTCATTTTTATATTTTTTTTTCTAGGATCGCAAAAATATACATTTCTCAAAACATTCTAGATGATCTTTTGAAAGAAATTAAAGAATCTAAAAAGTTACAAATACAATTTTTTAAAAATAAAATATACATTAACTTGTTTGTTAACAATTCTCTATAAGTAACTAATAGTAATATATTTTTTAATTTTTTAAAATAATAATAAACTAAAAATCTTTACTAAAAATAAACTACTTTTCTCCTTATTTCAGCACTGGTGAAAACCCTCTATGTGTGTCGATATGTTTATGTTTAACAAATATTGACCATTATATGGTTCATTTTTTGTTGTCTCCCAGGCCATTACATAATGAAATAAATTATTATATTAGTAAATAACAATGATTTATTGAAACTTTTTGTGGTATTAACAAGGGAAAATCAATTGTGTTATGTTCTATATTTTGAAAATCTTCTCGAATTGCTACACCACCACAAGCTTTAATCTTTTTTCAAAATCTGGGGAAAATGTCAGATTTCGAGGAATGGAGAACTCATTTTTATTAGAAGTTTAATTTCTTGAAAATATCTTACTTGTATATGATGTACTAATTGATATTATTGACAATCTGCTTCCATGTTGTTGGTAACTGTTATATTCTATCACCAAAATATCAGAAAATAAGATGGCCTCGAGATCTTCTTTTGTAAATACATTTTTAGAGTGCTTGCTACCAGTGGGTAGTTTCTCAACAAGGGATTTCATGTTATTATATTCTTTTGTTCACATTTACTGAATGTATTTTTATTTGTAATACAATTGTAAATATCATCAATAAAAAAATGTTAGAAAGTAAAATTGAATAGAAAGAAAAGCGCTGTTAGAAAAGAGTTGCAGCTCAACTATGTTGGGTTACTACAAATCATTTTACCATAAGTTTTCCTTTGACATCTTGTAAGAACTCATATATTGTTATACAATACAATTTTAATATATCTATGTCTGCTATACAGTAGAAATATGTTTTTTTTTTTTTTGTTATCTTTAATTATTATTTTTTTATCATTAAATAAATACTTCATATTAACACCTATATGACATTTCATTAATATGTAAATTAAATAAAAAGTATAAATATAAAGCTATCCTATAATTGGAATCCTAAAATTTGAGTTTAAAAAAATATCAGGTAACATTGCAGGAACATATAATTGTATATCAAATTAGATTAAAATCAACCAAACAAATTTGTGTGTATAATATAATACACACTCACAACTTTGTTAAATTGATTTTAATCTAATATTATATACAATGATATGTCCCTGAAATATATATATGTGGACTTATAAAAACTATTAGTATAGTATACAAATAGTTCTACAATTAACTTTTCACTTTATCTGTTACTATGGGTATGATGGTAGATTATTCCTAAAGAGCCAATAACTATATTATCTACAAATCTTCTCTTATTGGAACTCGTGGAACTTTTCCTTAGAGAAAAAAACTGCATTGGCCTTAAATATCCTTCTTTTTTCTTTCCACTTTACTTTATTGAGATCATTATTTCCGTATCTTGCGGCAGGATCCAGAATGATTACTGATTTTCCTGAACTAGGTAAAACTATAACGCCATCATATATCAAGTGGATCTATCTGTATCTATTTATTAGTTTCATGATAACTAATAAATCAACTGAAAAACTAATGTAATTTGAATTAAGGCAGGTGGTTTGATTGATAAAGACAAAGAAGTTACACCTGATTGATTCCACAATTAAAAAGAATCATAAGTTTCATTGCAAGAAAAATAAACATTAAAATCTAATTTTCTTAGCTATTTCTATTCCATTTGTTCTTAGATTTATGTTTTTGTTGGGTTGATGTTGAACTACGTTTGAATACATCTGTCTTTTTATTTATATTGATTTTAATATATCATACCTGAAATGCAATGATTTATCAGATTTATCAAACCAATCTGTTTCATCTTTATCCTGCATACTATACTAATCCTCTAGCTAGCTTTCCACTAAAAAGCTTTCCCCCAATATATAGCATCATTCATTTTGGTAATTGAGCATTCCACTTCTTAGAGTAAGCAATAGAATTAACTGTAATGGAGTTAGTAATAAAAAATCATATTTTTTTTGCTAATTCAAAAATAATTTTATTTTAACATAATTCTTTAAAATATTATGCATTGTATATATGTGTACCTGAGTTGTTAAACTGATTCTTAAGACAGACAAGGTGAATTTTAGCATATAAATTCATATCTAGAGTCTAAATAATAAAATATATTGAAATGTGGAAGTATGATTTTAAATATTGGGTTTTATGAATGGAGATAAATAAGAATTTCAAAACATAACGCAAATGATAAGAGGATTTTTTATAATATAAGTCGCCATGATAGAAGAGAGTGAGTCTGGTAAATGTCCTCGACGAGGTGCATGTCCTTTTTGTTGCCATCTTATTCGTCAATATATATGATGTCCACCCAGTCTTTGTTAACTGCGTCTCGACATATGCCCTGCTTAATGTTGTCAAATATAAAATTACTGATTCCACTTAATGGTTATACTTTGTAACTGGTCACCACTGGGAAATATAGGTCTAGAACAGAATATTTTTGAGATGTTCATTTGTATGATTAATTTCTTTTAGGTAATATCTTAATCATTTAGCAGCTAGCATCCTGAGGTTGTTGAGGAATTATTATTTTGTTTTCTGTTCTAATTTTCTGCATTATATGTTTTGTGCAGGAGGGCCAGCGGGAGGTGGCGGACGGAACGGTGCTGGGGAAAGCCAGCAGATGGAGGTGGAAGGCTACCCCTCTGCAAGTAGCGGCGGTGGCGGGCGAAGATATGGTGGAAGATACTTCAGTGGGCCGCGTGGCGATCCAGACTCTATCTGCCCATCAATGCAGCAGTCTCCGCTTGCCTCACACTGAACCTCTCTGACACCCTACATAACCAGTCTGTGTTCATAGAGCTAAAAGGTGTACACCTTCTTTTTTAAAAACTATATAATTATATCTACAAACCATATATACATATATATTTATAAATATATTTGTATATATGTATGTACATATATATATAACTATATAAATATAAAATTAAGTTAATATATAAAGTAATTAAGAAAATAACTTTAATATAGTGTTATTAAGAAAACAAAAGTACTCTTAATTATGAATAAAGAGACTTCTTTGAAGAACACTATTAAAAGTGCAGATAAGCGATTGAAGTTTTCCCAAATAGTTTAATTATTATGGTGAGAAATTAAAAAAAAAAAAAAAGAAAGAAAAATGTAGATTGTTAAGTAGTACAATACTATTATTTTATATATATATATATGTAAATATGTATATTTATATATGTATGAATAACTTATATACATACATATATTTATATATATATTGATGATAACGAGTGTGTAAGCGTGTTTGCAATCCCATACCCTTCCTGATGGGCCAAATAAATTCTCTTGAGGGAAAGGAACAAGCACAGTTTTTGTTTTATTTTTGTTCTATTTTTTGTTTTTGTTAATGAAAAGAAATTATATTAAAGAATATAACATTAATTGACTATTGTAAGCTTCTGTATTTTCCGACAGGAAGTTGAAGTTTCGATTGATTTTTATATTAGTTCATTTTGTCAACGAATCTTTAACTTCTCTAAATATAAATAATTATTATATATTTAATGGATTCACGTCGGACAGTAACAGAATCATTACAATGCTTTTAAAAAGTATATTATAATAATGTAAATTTAAATGTAATGACTTTAAGAAAATAGTGGAAAATAAAAAAAAATAATAAAAAAAATTTAAGAGATGATTTCTTCAAAAGAATGATTCCACAATTTTTGAGAAAAAAAAAACTTGAAAAAAAAGCTTGCAAATCAATCAGTCAGTGCGTTGAAACAAGACTGAGTTTTATGTTGTTTTCATTTCTTTTTTTTCTTTTTTTTTGAGATCATAGTAGAATTTGTTAGCCTTTTATTTTATTTTTATTTTACTTCTCTGTACAGTATGTTGAAAGTTAGTTTCATATTTTTCATAGCTCAAACTGATCATGAACTCTTCTTCTGTTATTAATTTCATGTGAGGTGATTAAATTCCTGAACTCAGTCTTTTGAAATATTTTATTTATCATTATTTTTATTTTAACATGTATAAACAATGGGGACCAGACCTGGCCTAACTAGCAACAATTGTTCTCCCTTGTCCTTCTCTCTCTATATATATATGTATGTATTTTCCCCTCTTCCTATTATCTATCCTCTCTCTCCCCCCTCCCTCACATTTCACTCGCTAGTCGTTAAATAATTGAAGAATCACATGTCAGTATAACGGCAGGCGTTTGACTCACACATTGTCATCAATACATCACTTTTGATTACTATTATGAATTTTTTAAGTTAATTATATTTATCTGAAATGATTTTATTTCCTTAACTCTTGACCTTTGATAATAGGAATAATTATGATAATAATAATGGAGAAGAGCTCTCAGGGCATTGTACTTACCTCAAATTTGTTAACACATGTAATAATATAAAAGATTATGTAACTAGATTGTTTTAACACCATGCTGCCACTAGTGATAGTAACAATATTTATAGTTATTGCATTAAGATAAGTGATGATGAAGCCTAACCACAGACGAATCCATAAAAAAAAAAGGCACTTAGTTATTTGTGATGTGTTTCTTCTTTTATTTGACTTGCCAAACATGTAAAACTTAGTTTTTCTTAGATTTATATGAGGTTATGATTATTAATAAAAAAAAAATTATATAAATTTAGAGTTAATAAAAATAAGAAAAAAAAGAGAGGAAGTAATAAAAATGGAAAATTAAATAAACTATTTGGTATGTATAAATGAATAAAAGCATTATATATATGTCTCTAGGACTGTAGTTAATAAGAATTCTTATTTGTACTGGTCGTATATGGAAACCACATTGTATACATATTATATACTATATAATATGACTATTATTATTATTATGATTATTGTTATTATTATACAAAGATGACTTAATGCACCCTCAGTCGCTACTCCTTTGTAAATGAATTGTATCTATAGATTATCTTGTTATTATGAATTTGCTATTATAAAAAAAGAAATGGTGATCGTGAGGTTGGGTGTATGTCCTTTTTAATATAATTTTTATTTTGTTTAGAATTTTAAAGTGTCTAAATTTGTATAAGTATGTATGTATATATATACATATACGTCTATATGTATGTATGTATGTATAGTCGCAAGGGGGAACATTACAATATGATTAAAAAATTAATAATCCCAGGTGGTTATGTATAACCATCAAACATATGGGTAGTATACTCATTTATATAAATATAAACATAGGTGAAATACAATTATAGATAAATAATTATACCCTTTTATAGAAAAGCAATTTAATGACAGATTTAATTTTATTATATAATTTTCAGTTTAAATCCTTCTTCTTAGTAATGGTTACCAGGCCAGATCATAAGTGGTTATGTCAATAACTTCACATAGCTACCATATTTATTCACAGTAACGACCATCTCCTAATTTACACAAACGTAGAAGTGCACTTTGCACCTCATATGTGTAAAGTAACAGGTGGTAGATATTTGCATATATAAATATATATATATATATATATATATATATATATATATATATATGTAATAAAGTAAAAATATATATATTTAAATAAAAGCATTTGTTTTTAACAACCTGTTAGGATAGTTTTTTAAAAATTTATTTGATTTTAATATCTTTTATTATGGGGAAATTTATACGGCAGGTAAATAAAATATTTTAAACATATAAAAAGTTATGGCCAGATATATTTGTGGTAATGGTGAGATCAGGGCTCCCCCTCACCTTCACGTTCCATTGTACCTTTAAAAGGCATGGACTTCAGGTTTATTTATTTTTCTCTGTTATGTTTCTTGTATCCATTTGAAAATAAACATTTATTTTTAAAATAATGTAACATGTATACCAATTAAAAAAAAACATTCAGTAGTGTAAGTTACATGCTTCTATGTCTTAAGGTATGACTTGTTGTGATGTACATACATATTATAGTAATTATCATTATTAGAGCGTTGTTGAGTATATTTATTATGACAGACCCCACAGATTGTTTGCATAGAAATGGCATAGCACAAGCTAAGAAAACAAAAATGTTACAAGACAAAAAGTTTTGATCTTCCAATCGAAATGATTTGAATGCCTGTACAGTCAACCAAAGTTCTATTAATTAGTCGCTAGCTGGTGGGAAGCACTGGGATCCCTCTCCATTGAAATAATTTTATACTTCTTATTAAATATTAACATTTTGGTATGTAATCATTAGCATATTTTATAAAATTCTATTTAATGAATTACGAATCATCTGTTGATTTAGTGATTACATCTGTAAGGAATGTTCTCCACCAATGGAAGAAATGCTCTAGAATATGCAGTTCCTATTATTAATAATAATTTATTTTTTAATGTTTTGTATTTGTTTTATCAGTTATCAGTTTTTGTTTTTACAATGCTCTACCATTTCTATAGCTAACACTGACTTAATGAAATGCTAAGTAAAAAAATTTAAAAAAATATATATAAAAAAAGAAGTAAGATTTTGTGATTGTAGACTATTTATATTGACTAATGAGAGTTTGAGCTATCTTATTTAGATTAATACTATTAGTTTAAATGACATGTTTCCTTATAGTAAATATTTGAAAATTTCAAGCCTACAGAACTTATTGAATTAAAATAAAAAAGAATGGAAGAGGTCGACACTTGAATGATTATTTTTTAATATCACTCTTATAAATCTGTGTTTTTATAAATTATATATATATATATATATATATATATATATATATATATATATATATATATATATATATATATATATATATATATATGAGTTATATACACATAAGTACAAATATACATTGCTTATATGTATGATTGTAATCTTGCTTTGAAATAATATAAAAAAAGAACCTTCATCTACCTTGTTTTTTAAATTATATTTTCTATTAAAATCATGAGGGATCTGTAGGCTTGATCTATTTAACATCTATATGATCTTAATTTTACAATGCCACTGGCAAAATCTTTTCACCCATCTCGCTTTTTGTTAAATAAAATATGACAGTTCGTTGAATTATTATCATTATCACCTTATTTACTTCTCTATTTACGCTTTTATACTTATCTCAAAACACGTAAGTATTGGCTTAAAAAAATTGAGATTTTTTCATTGCTAAGCAAATACAGGTTTTCTTTATTTAACATTGGTTAAGATCTTTCTTATACTTAAAGTTTTTGGTCTGGTTTGCACATGTGTGTTATGGAATATATTCCATAGCTGAAATATATTGGTATACATTGTTTCTGGTTGTATCAGATTGAAGTCGATTTTTCAACAGAGTACGCAAAGGGATTTAGTTATCTGACAATAGAACACAAAAATTCTGTTTACACATTAATTGATTGCAGAACAATTATTCATTTTTATTTAGCTCTTTTTGAATTATTAAATATAAAAATTAGTATTAGTCATTATTAATTTATATATATTTTTTTCACATTAATTATAATAACATCTAATCAATAAATAGAAATTTTAATAATTACTTTCTACTGATATATAATAAATTTAAAATATCACTGATTGATTTATAATTATAATCTCTAATTACAATAATATATTATTAATAAATTTGTAAAAAGTTCACTAGTTAATTTTTTGTATTTATTAAATCGAAAATGAAAAATAAATAATTAAACAAGAGTTCAAACATTTTTCTAATTGGTATTAAAATTTGAAGAAATAGTTTGTAATGTTTTCTCTGAAGTGCCGACACTGATAGTGTCTTTAGTGTTTTTTTCAAATCCTATCCTGTATAATGAAGGATCAAATTTTCTTTAAAACAGAAGACTCCAAAATGGTAAACGATTTGCTTGAGTTCTCCGTTGTATATCCTTTAGTACTGAGTTCAAGTTTTATATTTAAAATAATGTTTCCTTTATGATTATTATGGAATGCAAAAATGAATACATTATTTAAAATTACATAGGCAGTAACAATTTCAGCCAATTCAGTTTTTGTTAAGATAAAGAATAAACTTTTTTTTTTTTTTATAAAAGAATGATTATTGGTTGTTTTGGCATAAACACAAGGGTGTTTCCATTTGCTGGATGTCTCATCGAAACGCATGTTTCTGTAAACGAGTTTTTGCAGGATTATCCTGAACATTTAACTCTTACAGCTCAACATACAAAAAACATTTCATATTACCTGATAAAACATTCATGTGTAAATACATCCTATGACAACCAGACAGGTTTGATACTCTGTTTTATTATGTAAGGTTAAGGGAGCCTATTTTTGCTTAACAACTAATAAAATAAATGCTGACTTCCCATAAAATGAAGAACGGATAACATTTTTTAATTAATTACTTATATGAAATCTATTAATTAAGTTTCAAGTGGAATCTATTATACAGATGCATTAATATTTCGGATATTTATTTTGCTGTTTTGTTAGTACATGCAACTTAGTTAAATCTCTGTAAAAGTATAAAGGATCACCATTTTTGAGTTGGTACTGTTCATGAATGAATAAATGAAAAACTTCGGAACGTTATGTGAGAAAAAAAAAATACACATTTCAAGGAGCATTTGTCTGGCTGCATTAATCATAACTTCATTAAATTTTAAACTAATGATGACTAAGGTTCAAGCGTACATATTGAGATAGATAATCCAGGAGGTGAAAAATAAATGGTGTCAGTGAGGAAGAATTATGAATGGTTAAAACAAAAGGTTAAAGAATTCCTAAACAAGGTAACATGATTGATATTTCAAAGGAAGCTGTTCTGTGATAGGTGGATTTACAGTTCTCATTTAAGGGATGGATGGAAGAACATCAGGTGGTAAGTTCAAGAATGTAGGATTTTTTTTAGTTCTTAAACATTCAATAATATTTTTTTTTAAAAATATGATTTTCTAAAACTATAAATTTCATATTTTATAGGCTTAAATAAAGTCAGAACAAACTAAAGAAGGAAAAAAGTGATCAATTTTTATTTTTATTTTAGATTGGATCAATCAATCAATTTTCAAATTTTAGATTGGAAGTTTCAATTTGATTACTGATTCAATATTTTTCTCGTAGAAAAAATGTTCAAAATTAGTTTTTAAAAATCAATGATATGAACTTCACTCCCTCCTCCTTCCCCTTAAGAGAGACAATTTCTAGAAGTGTTGCCAATTGAGAACATTTGCCATATATGACTAGAGTTTGGCAAAATGTGCAAGTTTTTAATAAACCTACTTTATCATTTCAATTGCCATTAAATAATTGAATATTGAATTTATTGTTGTGTAAAACTCCTTACTGGCAATAATTATGGCCTGTATGTAAATTCTTCAAAAATATTTATTCTTGGAAAACAGATTATGTTCAGATTCAAAAAAGGATATTTAATACTTACTTTGAATTTAACATATTTTGTAAATTTCACAAAATATAACAATTTATGAGTGAAAAAATTCATAACGAGTAAAATTTAAGATATTTTAATGACTTGAAATGTCCTGAATTCAGTGAAAATAGGAGATTATCGATACAAGCCTTTGGTGTTCAGATTTAAAATTGTATGTGTAGAGCATAGTGCTGTTAAAACAAGTCTCGAGCTGAAGGCTCATAAGGTTCGAGCATTGATGAATTTATCCTTCAAAAAATTCACTTAAATTATTGTAGCTTGGTACATTTTAATAAAAAAATATATTTTGTTTTCTATTGGTTGTAACAATGTCAATATATTTCTTAAATATAATGTGAATATATTATTTTTGTGTTGGTAGTAACAATGTGTATATATTTCCGAAACATAATGTGAATAAATAGATATAAAAAACAGGTAAGGCTCGAACCTGCCGAGCTCTTATGATTCGAGCCTTGTCTGAGTCGAGAAAGCTCGAGATTTATAGCCTTCTGATCAAGCTTGTTTACATCACTACAAATATGTAATACTACTGACAAACATCATGTAGAATAGTTTTCTCTATTATGAAAACTGTAAAACAAATTAAGAAGTTCATTAATCAGCACATGGAGAAAAAAAGTAAGGTTCAAGCCGTGACTCAATCCTTCTACCGCCGAGCTCTTAGGACTTGAGTCTTGGCCGAGTTAGAAAAGCTCAATCCTAGTAGAGCAAGGCAAGGTTATACTTGCCTCAAACCCTAGGGAATATGCTACCTCGAAACACAATTTTTACAAATATTATTTGACCATAAAAAAAGTTTTCAAAATAAAAATGCGTAAAATTAAAAAGCTAATTAGTTCGAGTTTATGCATGAGAAATTGCAATGCAGATAACTCTCCAAAATAACAAGTTGGTGATTTGAGGTCAAACAACAAAGACAAAACATGGTTAAACTAACTCTACTTAAATTGTATACGCCTCTTAAGCTGCTTGATAATATTAAAAAATTGTTCAAGCTTAGTTAGGTTCTTGATATAAACGTTTTTCTAGGTTACTATGCCATGTAATCCTCATCAGCCCATAACATCATAGGTTTTCTTCTCCCTTAATTTTTGGCAACCATCTTTCCGAAATCAATTAGTGAAGGAACATGACGATGGTATTAGCATCTCATTTTCATAAATAATTTGCATTCATCATTTCTTAATTTTAATTTTAATTTAATTCAATACTTTTCAACAAATAGAAAAATATTTTTATTATTTTCATATTAGTCTGGTTATTAAATGTTTAATACATTTGATTAATAAGCAGACAGCACATCAAGGAGTTCAATTTTTAATAATTATAACAATAAAAATTTAAAAGCAACCATTTTATTTGCAAATATTCCAATCTACAACTTCAGGACAAAAAGTAACAATACTAAATGTCCTCAAAACAAAATATTTTCTCTGTATTTTTACAAAAATAAATGCATAATCTGTTCATTCTTTATCTTTATTTCTTATTTATATTTTTTTAAACAGAAATAACAGGGTTAAAAAAAGGGCATTAAGTCTTGCCTATCTATAAATATTAACATTTATACTCCTGCTCCATGAATTAAAATTCTCAATTTTTATAACAAATTAATAACACTAATAGTCGCAGACATTTCAAGGATAAAATATTTTAAAATTAAATCTTTAAATAGTGAGACTTTGAGAAAGGATGTCCTCATAGGATATCCAGGCTCACGAAGGTTGAGGTTGAACTGTGTAAAAGGACCTGAAACACTTTTAATGCAAGGGCAAATAAGTAGGTTTGCCATTCAGTCGTTAAAGAAGAAAAGAAGAAGTTCAGCTATCATTATCAACAAATAATTCTGAGGGAAGATCCTTTCTGAAAGGAAAACTTGATTGAGTTCCTTTAGACATGACGCTTATTGATGCGATTGAACAGGCTCTTGATATCTTGGTAGATAACTTTGTATTTGGTAATGAAGCTATCATATATGCCAATGCTCCGATAAATGCATCACCTGCTCCCTAAAAAAATTATAATTTATAAAATATATTACAAAAGAATTGTAGAAAATACCATTAATATATCAATTTAAAAATAAATCATAATTATAACAAAATATAAGTTCCAGAAGCTGATTAGAAGGTTTAGTCTGGAAACAAATCACAGATAAGATAGCTTTTTTACTGTGTACCGATATTTCAATAAAAGTTTTTTATGCCATCATCAAGCATTAGGAAATATAAAAAATAGTGCATATAGACAAGAAAATAAGTTGATAACAAATAATATGGAAATATAAAAATATTATAAGTCATGAAATGTAATGCCAATGTATGTGCAAAGATATATTTAGTTCAATAAGAAACCACATTAATGTCATTTTCCACCTTTAAAAAAATTAATTTTCTCATATTGAGAAACCAAATTTAAATAATTTGTGGTTTTAGCAAGTAGTGATACTATACCAAATTAAAAAAAAATCTGGTGCGTGCAACACCACAATGAAATAGTATCTTAACCAGCGTCATTGCCTTGAATTCGTGGATTTTAAATACTTTTTTCAATTAAAAAAAAAGTTAAAAGATTATATTTTGTAGAGAAAATTTTATTTAATTTCCTTGAAAACACGTGATTTACGTTAAATAATGTTAGTTTTTAAAAATTATTATACATATTTTTTTTACCACTCTGTTACCTTCTACAATTTTTTATATTAGATATTTTGTTTTCAATTCTCCACTTTCCAACAATATATACGGTTTAGATATGTATTTTTCTTTTTTTCTCCTATATTCAATTATCAAATTCTTTCAAAAGTTATATTTAACATTTTTTATAACTCCTAACAATGAGAAAGTTATTATTTATAATAAACCAAATTAAAGGTACTTCAGAGGAAGACACGATAATTTTGGGATTTCATCAAATTATTCACTAATTTAATTTTTTTTAAAGTTACATGACGATATTTCGGAATAAACGGACGTTGATAACTAGTTATTTAAGTATAAGATCTAGAATTATTAAACTACAGTAAATGTATTTAAGGTTATAAATACATACTTTATACATCCATGAAATTATTTGATATTTCACTTCTTCTTTCACATAAATACAATGAAATAATTTTTCAAACAATGGTATTGCCTTGATAGGTGGATTTTAAATACTTTTTCAAACTTAAAAATATTTTAAAAGTTTACATTTAGTTAGTAAATTTCATAATAAATAAAGAATAAAGAAATAGCAAATGAACTAGTTAATCCTAGAATGAGTATAAATGTCCGGATTGATAATTTTTATTTAACCCATTCAAGAAGGTGGCCATATTGTCAAAATATCGTAAAAGACAAGGTAATCAATGAAAAAACGTTTTTGTTTAAGAATGTTACTACCTTTTAAAATAAACTGCTCTCTTTTTTGTTAACACTATTTTTTACTGAAAAAAAAATATCAATTTTATCGTTATGAACTTTAAAAAAAATTAAGTAAATGGATTAATTTTAGAATTAAATGTAAAATCACTATATGAACCATGGGACAACTATTCTATTTTATTAGTATAAAAAATAACTTGAAAACTAAATTAATGGATGTCAATTAATGCAATGAAAAATGGTTCACTTCTCTAAAATTAGAAATCAAAGTACTGGAATGGCGAAGAAGTATTCTGTGAATGACACAGAGGAAAGAGAAGATAAATAGTGAGGAGGATAGAGCAGCCCCTGTGCACTCACAGTTATAGAGCATGGATTGTAAGAACACATTGGTTCACTCGTAAAAAATGGGTTTATACCGAAATATGTGTCATTGAAGAGCTTTCTGGAAAAATTAAGATCTAAGATTTTTTTTCAAACACCAACCATTTACTACCTCAAATTATACTTAAAGGTATTCCTCAAAACTATACCTACCACAGTGTCAACAGGAATAACACATGGCGCAGTTACATGCTTGGGATTACTTCCATTTTCAGAAAAAACAGCACCATCTCCTCCTAATGTAATAATAAGTGTTTTGCAGCCAAAAGAATGAAGCTTTTCAATAGCAGCATATGATTCCTTAATTGAGGTTACAGGCAAACCCGTCATTAAACTTGCCTAAAAAAATATTAATATTTATGGAGATGTTTTCCTTAAGAAAATTTAAAATTATTCTTTCAAATTAAAATATAGAATATCAGAAAAAACTTCTTTTAAATTCAGTATCGAGCATATATACTTTTTTGATTTCTTTATATTTTGAACAAACATAATCAAATATGTAAAAGATGTAGGGTATAAAAATAAAGTATTAGTACATTAAAAAAAGTTTTTTGTGTATATACAGATGAATAATAGCTTAAATGAAAATTTACCTCAGTTTCATTTACACAAAATACGTCACACAGTTCAAATAATCTATGATTTACATTTGATAATGCTGGAGCTCCGTTTACAATAGTTAGTGGCCCTCCTGAAGAAAATTGAAACAAGACAATGTGAATTTAATTATGAAGAATACATCAGAATAAAATTATAGCAAAAATAATACAAGAAATTCCTTATCATATATTACGCTTCTTTACTTAAATAACCTTTCCTTCTGTAAAACTTATTTACTTTCTATACAGAACTAAGAGACCTGATGTCAAAGTGATAAGAATATTTTTATAATTGTAGAAGAAGTTGGTTGGGAGATGCAGTCATAGATAATATAACACAGAAATTTTTCCAGAATTAGGCATTTCTGAACACACAACTATATTGTACTAGACATGAATGACCCATAACACTTAAATTATATATCAACAGGGCTTTAATTTTTGCAAGCTATAATAAATGTAAAAGATATTAGTCTAGAACTAACCTTTTCTACTTATAAATTCTAAGGTTTGAATGGTAGATTCAACAGGTGTTTCAAATTGAAAAAGCACCACCTTTGATTTCATTAGTAGGTTTTCAGCTTTCTTAGCATCATCAACTGAAAGCTTTTTATTTGCACCAGCCACAATCACAATAGCATTTTCACCTAATAACATTTATCTTTATTTATAAAATGGAAAAATATAACAATCATATAATTTTAAAGTCTTATCCACCATTTTCTGCAACGGTAATCTGTGCCATCCCACAAGTTACATCATCAGTAAGAGTGACATGTTCAGTATTTATTCCCATACTTGTCAAATGAGTTTTGTACTTCAGCCCAAAAGAGTCGTTGCCAAGCTGAAGAGAAAGATTGATATTAATTGCATATAGAGAAATGTCGCACAGTTATGAAAATTAAATTTAAAAATCCATAGATTAACAAAGAAGACCAGAACAACTAATTTATCATATGTTCACATTTGAAGTAAAGAAAGAGCAATCATTTTTATGTTCCTCAAAACCTTAATGTTAGATTTTTATTACAGAGTAGGGTAGTATGAATAAGATAGCTGGTAACAGAAACAGTACTTTTAATTTTTTTTTTCTACACCGTACCAAGCAAATTAAGAAAAACAGATTAAAAAAAAGAGAATTTTAATGAAATTAATATTTTTGTTTATTGAAACAACTTTGACAGGAAAGGTGGATCTACTACAGAGAGCCAATTATCCCAATTCTACCATTAAAAGGGGAACCAAACGGGCATCCACTTCAGAGATGTTACTTGTATGCTGGAATGCAGCTCTACCTTGCTGAACCAATCCCTAATCACTCCCTCTTCATTAGGATGGTTGGCAACCCTTTTGCAAACTTCTCCATCCAGTGGTTTTTTTATGAGAAAGGATTAATGGCCCTGTGCCCAACCTCCCCTCCCCATAAGGAGGACCAGGAGCTATGTTGTTGGAAGGTACAGAAGTCGCTCATCTCCCTGTGAATCTCAGGGTGGGGACTTTACCGTTCCCATGCTGGATTCGAACCCATGCCATAGTGGTCCAAGCAACCAAATAGGGACTGCACATATTTATTTATTAATAATGATTTTTATTTTTTCTCTTTTTTTTGTGTTGAATCCCAAAAACGGAATTTAAAATCATAGCTTAAAATTTTTCGAGGCGCCTTAACTAGCTCGACCACCACGGCCCCTGTATGATAAATGTAATAACACCTTTATGATTGTTGTTCTTTCTTTAGTATCTTTCCTATTTCCGGAACCAGTCTTACAGTCTTACTTCTTTGCTATTTTACATATACAAAGCATAGGTCTCGGTAGTCTCAGAATGTAATATAATTATTCATTTAAAAGTCAAATTTTGTCCATTCGGACATCATAAGGGCATTGATACATTAGTCAAAATTAGTGAGAGTGTATATTTAACAAAAAAGTATTTTGGTAATCTGTGATGAGGTGAGTATAGCTGGACATCATCTCCTTAAATGTACATCATCAGGAGTTTTGAGTAATGGTAACTTAGTACAGCTAATGATGCCTGAATGGATGAAAATTTGACTTTTTAAAAAATAATTGTTTTGAATTAAGACTACTGAAGCCTACATTTTTGTTTATACCTAAAAAATAGTCCACTTCATAATTATGCTTATTGAGATTTTACATATAACTTATTGTCCCCACTTTTCTCTATTTTCTTAAATTTATAAGTTTTAATATTAAATTCTTTTTTGTTGGTTCAATTTTTAAATAAAATAGAAACCAAGCTATTTGAAATTTAAAAATGTAAAATGCTTATTACATGAAAACATAATTTTTTAAAAATATTTATACATCTCAAATGGCTCAACTTAATGGTTTTACTAGAAGAGAATAAAATATAATAAATATTGAATATATGTATACAAAATGAATCAGCAAATAATAAACAATTTTCATTGTTGATTGATGATATTTATGAAAAATATATTAAATTCTGTACAAATAAAATGACTTAAAAATATTCTGATTATTCTTCTATATAAATATTCAAATAAATAAGTGGATTCACCAAATTTTAAGACTGCTATTAAATAAATTGTTTATGATATCATATAAATATTATTAAAAAATTAATATAAAATTTTATTTTCTGCTTATATTAAATAAGTACCCTAGCTATGAGGGCCGTCGATCCACCCAACTTGGTAGCCGCAACACACTGATTAGCCCCTTTTCCTCCATTTCCTAGCCTAAAATCTGTTCCATGTATAGTTTCACCAGGTAATGGCAATCTTGGACAGTAACTAAAAAGAAAGTAATTAAAAACAGTTACAGGAAATATATATTTTGAATCATGCCATCCAAATCCTTACCAGGTTAAATCAACCATACATGAGCCAAAAACTACAATATCTGGTTGACTAGCCATTTAAAAATAATACTTTTAGATTTTGTTGTAGAAATGGAATACCACACAAGTACACCAGTCCAAGCAAACTAAAGTAATTTACAGTCCATGCCAAATGATAAGAAATCAACTGATAAGAAGTATTAGTGATAAAGAGCCTAATTCAGCTTATAATTTAAGCCTTAGATGATTGTGAGCCTTGACAATGATAACATTCCGATATATTTTTTAAAATTTATTTTCTGTGCGAATTTTAATGAAATAATGCGACTTTTACAGAACTCTAAGAAGTGGTAATGTAGTAAAACAAGTTGGGAGGTAATAGAATTGATGCGGACGCTTTGTTTACTTAATTTAACCTGAACTCAGCGCTGAGATGATTGAAGGGCATCGGAAATCCATCAAGGCGTTGTTAAACTCATCGATGTGAAATCGGACAAATTCCTCAAATCAGCGCTGAGATAATTGATGAGCATTGCAAATCCACACAATAAATACGATCACACAATAAATAGAATGCCCAGAATATAATATTGACACCTTGCTCAGGACTTTAACTTCCCTTTATTTAGATTGCGATTTACGACTTTCGTAAACTCCAAAGTGGTCCTTTTAAGTTAAAATCGTGGCCTTAATTATCTTTAATTATATATCTGCATTCGAGTTCCGTTCGCTAATAAGGTGTAAACGAAACCCCAACCAGGTCTACTTTCAGACAATTAAGGCCAATGATGACAGAATCCTATTGTTTAAGTTGAATCCAAACCACGATCCACGATATATCAAGAAAAAGAACTGCAAAGAAAACTAAGGAAGTCATTCGGAATCAAGTGGGATTTGAACCGGGGAAGTGATGGATGAACACAAATCATCTATGCTGGCTTCGAAAAAATATGAACACATTTTAAAATTCTAATGTCAGAGTATTTTTTTAGTAAATCTCATAGATTCGTGATTTAGTTTATTATTGCCTTACTTTAACACATTTATAGAAATTTTAAAGTATTTTTTTTACGAGCTATTAATATTAACCATCTAACATTGTGAATAATCTCTCTTTTTGTTACTTTCGTTACATGAAGAAATAGAATACTTAGTATAAATATATAAGTATAATAAGAAATAGAATACTCTGATAAGATTACTATTTTTTTTTTTTTTAGGACTCCTAATAAATTCTTATATGATTTATATTGTTTGAAGATCAACATTTTTGTTCTTAGACAAAAAAGGAGAAGGATTAAGGATTACTGAGTAAATATTTTCTTTTGTAGATAATTAGTTGCTAAGCCAGGTCTTGGCTCAAGCAAAATTATATTGCCAGCCTTCTCTCACTGAACATCTTATGTATTTTATTTTAATGATTAAAATTAATTTGTGGACTAAGGTTTAAAAAAATAAAATAACAAATGAAGATTTTGTTCACTTAAATCAGAGCCTCAGTGATTTGCCCCTTCAATTTCTCTCTAATGGTGGTCTGCCGACTTTGATTTTGTCAAGAAATATTATTTAGAAGTAAGACTGGATTAATCTTATAATATTAACCTATAAGCTGTGCACTATAGGCTGGCAGAACAACATAACAAGGTACCAAAATGAATTGTTTAACATTTAAATAAAAAAATTTAAATATAATAAAAATTAGCCATGGAATCAATTCAGAAGGAATAATTTCGATTATGTACGTGGCTGGACAGTGGTAAAGTAGTTCCTCAAGGTAACACCTTGTGGAGTTAGCCAATGTAAGATAATGAGATAATATTATGCAATAGTGTTATATATTTTGTAATACATTACCTAAAATATTGTTATAAAATATTTATTGCTATAAAGTATGGCCATTCCATCATGGAATCTAGATATGTTACGTAATTAAAACAAAATACAATGTAATTATCATTCACACATTTATTATGACAAATAAAAAAAAAAAATTAGATGGGTATAATAGGAGGAAATCATTTTTCAATTTTAAAATCTATTTTATTGTTTAAACAATAGAGAAAACAATATGTTGCTTTCATATATCTTTTTTTTTTTTTGTCTATAAAATATGTATTTGCGCCTGTCAACAATAAGTTGACAATCAGCAAATGTGATGGCGATAATGATATAATGACATGACAGGCATGGGGCTTTCATATATTAAACAATAGATTGCCCAAGAAGTCTCAAATTTGTTAATGTAAAAAAATAAACAAAAAAAGACGAACATTTGTAGTTTTACATACTACACACTTTGGATATATAATAAAATTTTAATTAATGAATTTCTGTGTGAAGAATTCTATTTATTTAACAATACTTCAAAATAATTATCTTTTATTTTTATCCAAATAACATCTGTTAACGTATTATTTAATATACTGACGTAATCAGAAATACATAGTTAATTAAAGCTATCTATAATTTAAATAAACAGATTTAGTTTAAAAAGCTGTTAACAGATAGAAGCACCAGTCAAGAAAAGAGAAAAAATAATAATCTAGTGTCTGATAGAGACTACTCACTATCCAGACAATATTACAGTAACTTTATTAAGACTGTGTGGCTATACTGAAGTGTTGGCAATCTTGATTAGTCGGGAAACTATATTTGAATAGATTTATGATGTTATTTCAATTTATATATATATATATATATATATATATATATATATATATATATATATATAATTAGTAAAATGATAAATAAAAAACTGAGTGAAGATTGACTTTCATTAGAATGTCATTCGGAAACTTAAGGAAATCAATTCAAATTCAAAAACTATGAAAATATTTTTTTAAAACCCTCCTTTGAAAAGAAAAAAAAAAAAAAAAATTCAAAATAATATCTTCGATCATTACAATAATTTTTATATAATTTTATTTTTTAGTTTAGCTGTAGATAGAATATAGGTATTAGAGAATATATTAAGTAAATTATCACACTGATACAGATAAAAACAAGTTTTGAAGAAATATTCCAAATAAGGAAGAATCATTATAGTTAGTTTTAGGTTTTGAACCTATAATTATGGTAAATCATGTTAAAGTAACAAATTAATGTTATCACTCTTCTTACTACTGTACTGTAGTGACTATTTTTGCATTAGAGGACAAATTTTCCTTGCTGTAGATGTTTCTAGTGGTGAAGTTCATTCTTTCCAGTTTGGCTATTCTTTCTTTCCCTAGGAAAGTGGAAGGTGTGAAGAAGAACAATAAATGATATTCGCGTGGTTCTTGCTGGCCGATTCGTGTAAAAAAAAAATATAATTGGGAAAATACAGTTAAATTGATTTAATCGATAATTTATTATAATGAGAATCACTCCATAAAGTGTTGTTAAATAAAAGACTAACAACTAACTAAACATGACTAGTACAATACATTCCATATATATATAATTCATTATTTTGTTTTTATGTATATGAATTTAACTTATGCACTTGCATTCTTTATGTAGTAAATATGTATTATAAATCAGAAACATGTAATAGAAACTGTTATTTTTATTTCTCTTAAATGCTGTTTGTAATATATACAATAAATATACTTCTGTAAAAGTTTTATACATTACAACCCAAACACCATAGAAAATTTGAACTTCAAACTGTTTGTTTTCTACCTTCCTTTCCTTTGATACAAAAAGAAAAAAAATAACGATAAATTAAGTGATGAAGATATAAATAAAGTAAAATAATATGTATCACTATTATTATTATTTATATTCTCACTACTTACTTTGTCCTTAATTTACTTTTTCATGTTCTTTTTTTTTGTTATTTATTTATGTCTATATCATACACATATCTCTTGTATGTCTGATTTAATTTCTATCTTAATGAAGACACAAAGGTTTGCTTTGAAAGTTGCATTCAGTAATAAAATAATGACGACTGAATTCTGATTATTTGTTCCATGATATAAATTACAGCTACCGACTATAATAAAAATATTTTATATCACCAACTATGAGCAAAAGATAATTTTCAAATACCATTTCAAAAATCTGAAGATTTTAAAGAAAAACTTTGAACAAGAGAACCAATAATGAATCATTCCATATGAACATGAATAATTTAATTAATAGAAAATTAAATACCTTCAATCTTTGAAAATAATGTAGGCAAACTGTTATAATTTGAATCAGATATACATACATCTAGATAATATAAATCTATAGTTAACAGCCTATACAGCAGTGAGAATCTAAGTGTTTAAGTAGGATGTATGAATAGGGTAAACTAAAAAGAACTTTTCATGGGAACATATTTATTTATTTTCTTCTATTATGTTTTACCATATATTTAAAAATACATAACACAGCTATTACATATCTGTATTTATTAACACATCTCACTGTTGACACCTTTAAATTCATTCAAAACTTCACTTCACTCACTACATACACTATTGAGAAACTAGCGATAAATAATTAAACTAAATTCTGCAATTTCTAATGAAAAAACATTATAAAATAATGTATTGCTTAAGAAATGAAATAATCACACACTATATATCAGTTAAGGCAATATACTTCAGAAAGAAAACATTTCATAGAATTTATAACACCCTATTTTAACTAAGTCTGGAGGATATTAAGATTGAGGAGGCCTGTCGTGTCAAGAATTAAAATAATAATCATTTAAACAATATAACAAGGCGAAAGCAACAATTTCAGTGATCGTTTATAAGTTTAAACAAATTTTGAATAATAGTTTCCATAACGATATAAAGGTAAGAGCACTATCGAACAAACCGGTAGAATAATAGTTTCAAAACTCAATAAAAGAGAGCAGCACCATACAATACACAGAAAATTAAATATTAGTTCTAAAAATCGTTAAAAGAGGTCAGCACTATCCAGGAAACATGAAAACAGCACTTAGTTCAAAAAGTTGTCGCAAGATAGCAGCACTATCCAGGGAGCCTTTGTAGGGAGGCCGAATTCGCACGTAGTTTGTAAAACTGCCACTAGAGGCCAGCACTATCCAAGGATACATAGGAAATTATAGTTCTAAACATTGCCAATAGATAGCAGCACTAAAGACACTCCTGGTCGACTCGAAAAGTGAGCTCCTTTAACTTCCTAATATCCTGATACAAAACAACGAGTTTCTTGCTAGAAATTCGAATAAAATTCGTAGTTCCTATGTTCTGCCAATAGATAGCAGCACTAACGGTATCAGGTTCACCTCGAAAAGTGAGCTCCTTTTATTTCCTACCATCCTAGTACAAAATAAAGATTTTCAACTCGGAATTCTTGCTTCCGACGCTTCTGGGACCAGTTTTTATTAGTTTTCATGTTTATACATGCTGGAATTTCATCAGAATATTTAAAAAACGTTAAAAAAATTTAAGAT